AGAGAGAGAGAGAGAGAGAGAGAGAGAGAGAGAGAGAGAATATGATTGCTAATAATAAAAACAGATGCGTTTGCTAATATCGTGCTCCGTTGCAGCAGAATCGGCGAAATTCAATAACGTTTAGCGAGGAGCTAGGTCAAGACCTACCCCAGGTGATGTCGTTGAACCAAAATTCCGAGGATCCGGTTGTATCGTCAATCAGAGGCGGCATAGGTGGTGCAGAATCCGGCAGTGGATTACACGGTCCATGAACACGACACGTACTAGTCCCTATAGCTCGATTAGCGGTCGCGTACATCATCTCCGTCGCGGTTACTTCATCAATATCAACCTCGGATGTGTCGTCGATACCCTTGTCACATAAAAGTTTAATCCTGGACGAAGAGGTGCCAGGCTGTGCGAATATATCGTCGTGAGGACTGTTATGAGGCGAACATTCGGTTCGTAAACCGGCGATCGGTTGCTCGTATTCGGCCGAATCACTGCTCGGCGATGGTGGATAAGTGCTAGTACTTGATTTAATCGGTCGATCCCTTGGTAAAACTTGTATACCCGTGGAAGAAGTAGAAGGTCCTCCTTCGACGGCGGAAGGCATTCTACGCCCAACAGCAGCCGCAGCTGCAGCTGCCGCCGTAGCCGCCGAATAAGAATAGAAGGAACCACCCTGTATCATTATACTGCAGGGTGGTTCCTCCACTGCGGCACCGGCACTAACACCAGGCCCTGTAGAGACAGCAGAGGAGGAGCTGACATCGGCAAGCTCACCTTGTACTTGCTGCACACCGTATATCCCCTGTGAAACTCCCGTTTCAGTCTGATGATATTGTTGTTGTTGCTGCTGCTGATGCAATGTCTGATGCTGTTGTTTATCCTTGTCACGACGGGGTGACCGACCCCGATCGCTAACTGACGTTGCGCTCCAATATCCCCACGCCATTTCGCGAGCAATTTAACCGTATTTGTCTCGAGTGTCTTCTATCCTGGCTATCTAATATCGTCCACCAACAATCGTACACCACTGGTTCCCGTCTTTTGCTCGCTATTACCCTCTAACTCCCACCCCAAGTTTTCCCTACTTTCCTTCCTACGGGTAGGTGCGCACACTCTCTTTCTCTCTCTCTCTGCCTCACTCTGTCTGGCTATCTTCTCTCAGACTCTCTCTCCTTCTTACTCCTTTACCGTTCTCTGTCCTCGTCTTTTACCGTAGCCCGACCTCTTGCAGGAAAACCCGGCTGAGAATGCGACGAGTCAGCGCGATCGATGCTGGTTTATCGCCACTTTTGCAACCTCTTCACTGACAACAGCGATTGTTAAAGGTATGCTGTCACAACCTCTCGACATAAATCACCGATCATTGAAATAGTCTGTGGCAAACTTCTCCTCGGAATACTGTTATCGTATCAATGTTTCAAACTAATCAACGTATTATTTCTTTTTTCTTTCGATTTGTATTTCCTTTTTTCGATTTATATTTCTCTTTTCTTTCGTGTTTTTATTTTGTTTCTTGTTTCCTTTTTTCTTTTATTACTATTATTGTTATTGTTCTATTTTTTTTTAAAGATGTTTCTTTAATTATATTCTCACGTCTAAATGCGTTTTAACAGTCAGTTTGAGTATACTTGCGCGAGAAAACTTCGTGGCTAATCAGTTCGCGTAAGAATATCGACTGCTGCCGCGGGATTCGTTAACTACCGCCGCCGCCCGACGCGCTTTACTCCATGAAATGCGCAAACGCTAAAATAAAGGCACACTCTGAAAAACAGAACTGATTTCTCTTTGACTATTTATCCGATCCTTCTCCTTTCTTTCCTATTCATTTCCCGCGCTTCTTCTCTTTCCATTTTAAAATCTTTCTCATCCTCAATAATCTTCACTTGTTATTTTTTCTTTTTTAACTTCATTCTCGATATTCTTTTCCATTTGCGCCCTCTTCTTATTGTTTCTTTTTTATTGCGTTTACGTTTTTTATTTATCACTTTTGTCACTTTTTATATCACTTCCTTTATTCTAATTATTTTTTTTCACAACTTTAATGATACTTTTTTGTTGTTCTTTACTAGCATTTTAAATTATTTTTTTCAATGTTTGTAATAAATAAAATGAAGAGTTTGTTAATATAATATGGAAGATAATTATTAAATACAAATTATACGATATACAGAATGAATTTATATAAAAAAAATATAATTTTCGAATTATAATAATGTTTTTCGTTTATTATGAAAACATTTATAATTATTTATAAAATTTCGATGATAAAAGAAAATAATACAAAAATAAATAATAATATATTTAATCTAATTAATCAGTTAAATTAAACTCACAATGCATGTCATTGCAATATAATACGCAATAATGTGTAATGTTTTAGAAAACGCACAAATTATGAACAAATAATATTTCATGAAAAAAATTATAAAATATATGGAATAGAAAGATGTTATTAAAAATAATTAATATAATGTTAATTATATATATTAATATATATAATAAACATTAATATATAAATAATAATTTCTTAATTTTACGAAAATCAATTTTTATATAAATAACAAATTTATATCTATATATTAAATATCAATCAATAAAAATAAATAATAATAATAAAATTAATTAATATTAATGTAAGTTGAAAACTATTATACTTAGATTACATTAATCTGATATATTATTTATCATATATTTTAAAAATTTTTATTATAAGATTAAAAATCTTAAAATAAATCTTAGTAAATGATTTTTAATAAAAAAATTTTTCATCAAATTTTTGATTAAATTTCTTTAATAATAATTATTCGTTTTGAAAATATATTTTTCAATAATTATAATATATAATAATATATATATTATAAATTATATTATAAATTATAAAATCAGTTAATATTAATTAAACTGTAAATATAAAGATATTTATCATAGATATATAAATTACATTTTTGTTTTAAAAATGTTTATATGTTTCATTTATATTTATATCATTTATATCTATATAAATATACATAAATATTTCATTCAAATGCAAAAAGAATTTGTAATATTTTTAAATTTGTCAAAATAATAAAAAAATAGGAGTATAAAAGGTATATATATGTATCAAATAATTATTCTAATCCATTCATACATTCAAATATATATAAAAACATTATTTTTTTAATACATATTTATAAATATATAAATACTTACCATGTATAGTAATTTCAGTATCCTTTTCTAATTCATAAAGACGTAATGCTTCATCCAATTCATGTTGAGAAGCAATTCTACATGGATCTCCTTCATCATCAACCCATTTCATTGTAAATTGATCTGGTCCTGCAGTACCAAATCCACATATTGTACGCATTTCTTCTCGTAAAGTGTCTACTGAAATGCCAGGAGTGATATACGTAATCTGCACTTCCCTAATACAAACACAAGTCATTATAATCTTATGAGATTTCTTAACAATTTAAATAATATATTTAATTTTCTTCTTATTATTATATTTATATATGTGAAATTAAAAAAAGAGAATAATAAAAAAATTAAAGAATAATAAAAATTTATATTTCTATTTTATAAAATTATTTAGTTTTAAATAATTTAATTAATAATTTAATTTCTTGCTTTATTATTTTTTATTACATTATTATTATATATTATTAAAATTGTTTTGTAACTATTTTCATATAATATATATTATAATATAAAAAATATTAGAATTATCAATTTAAAAACATTTATAATTTCAAAATTATTCAAGACATGACATGTTTAAAAAAATATTCATTGTATTGCATATAAAAAATATTAAAGCTTTCTCATTTTTATTCTTTTCACTTGTTATTTATGAGAAAAACATTAAGTAATATAAATATTTTAATAAAATATAAATTTTATCATTTAAACTCAATTTTTAAAAATTAAAATTATTTTCATAAAATTGAAAATAAATCAATCATAGAAATAAAATTTTATAAGCAATTTAACTATATTTTCAAAACGAATAATATTTTTATCGTTAGATGTTCTTTTTATAATTTAACATTAAAAGTACAACTACATAAATTTTTCAATTGTAATAAATATCTAAGGATGATAGTAAATTATTAATTATTATTAAATGTTTATGTATTAACTAACTTTTACATGAAACAATTTTATATGTTTATATTCTTAAATATATAACAATTTATGTTATTATTACATATAAAACTAATTTATTAAATTAAAATTTCATATAAATCATTCGTATTACCCATTATAAACAATTTTCACTCGAATATCATCATTTTCTGTTGTTTGTGTAGGCATTTTTATTCAGTCTAAATATTCTCTTCTTTTCTGTAAAAGAATTACATTATTAAACCATTAATTATTAAATTATAAATATTTTCTTTTAAAAATAATGTTTTATAAATAAGAAACACACATTACCAAAAATAAATATATACTATAAATAATAAATCTTTCAATTAATTCTTGTTTATAAATATATTATTTATTTATTAAATTTTTTTAATTAAATCTTTTTTCTTAAAATAATGATATTATTATATATATAATTAAAATTTATATTATATAGAAATAAATTGTAACTATAATATTATTACTATAATATATAGACTTTATAAAAGTTTATTATGATTTATTATTATTATATAAATTCATTGAATATTTGCGAAAGTTACAATGATACGTTGTAAATATAAAAAATATAACTATTTGTAAAAAGATTTTTTCTATATTTTTTAAAAAAAAATTAATAGCTAATAGAAATTTGTATATGAAAATATCTAAAAGCCACTAAATTATATATAAAAATTAATCCAATAAACTGTCTTAATTTTAACACACGTACAAACTTGTTTCAATACGACGATTTTGTTCAAAAAATTATTTTATTATTTAATATTGCTATGTTCCTTCGAAATAAAATAGGAAATTGTCTTATTTTGTAAATTACTTGCTAGATATAATCATATAATAAACTCAAAATTGAAAAGCAATTAATACAGCAAAACGCGTTGTCACTTGGCAGTCGCCATGTTTATTAGATATGTACCTTCATAAGGAAATCTCTATTTTCCCTATAAAATGACGCATACTTACCTACTATATTTAGTAAAATCATTAATTTTTCAAAATTTAATTACAAAATTTGTCTAAAAACTTAATTATAATTTTAATTTTGAAATCAATTTGAATTAATCAAAATCAACCAAATTATTTTATTACAATTAAGATTGTGACATAGATATAATAAAAATTTTAATTTTAAATTTATAATTATATAATATCATTTCTAAAGAATTTTTAGTTTTGAAAAGTATATATTAAAAATAATATAAAAGATATATTTACATATAATGCAATAAAATATATATTTATATGTAATGTAAACATATAACCATATATTATAAAATATGTATTATATATATTATATTTAAATATTAATCATATTTTGGAATTATGTGACATATACATACACATTTAATTATATACATAGTACTTACGTACGAATCAATAATTTTGATATCATTTAATATAAAATCTATATATGATGTATCATATATTTACGAACATACGAATCATTGTACATTTTGTATACAAGATATTTGCTTTCACTATTTATAATACTGAAACAAAAAAATGAAAATCAATTCTATTTTTATTATATAATTTATAAAATATACAATGTTAAATTTGCATTATTATATTATAATTAATTGAAAAACAAAGAATTTAATATAGTTATAATTATAATATTCTATCTCACGTAACTTCAAGTCGCTGAAGAAAAAATATAATAAAATCACAATCAACATAATTATTATTCATAATTTTAATTCATTAACTCTATTCTTTAATAATTATAAATTTATTTTAGTATATTTAAATATTATAAAATTTAATGTTCTTCAATATAAATTTTTCTACAATATAGATTTAAATTAGATATCTGTTTCTTTATATTCTTGTATCATCATTAATTATATATGCTAGAATATAGTAATCTTAACCTAAATAAATTTAATTGAAATTTTTCCTGAAATTAATGGTGCTTAGATTAACTTTAATAATTTAAGTAATAATATATTCAGATTCATCAAAATCAATATTTTACACAATTATCTATATTATTCTATATTATCTTAATTCTAATTCTTTAAAATTAATATCATTTATATATATTTAAATATTTTTTATATGAAATTATATACTATAAGTATATTAGTAATAATAATTAAATACTTCAGAATAAGATAAGATATTTAGGATAATAATTTTAATAATAATTCTCTAAAATTAAATATTTAAAATAGGATAAAAATACAACTAATATATTGTATTCACTACTTTATTAATTCCTATGAATAAACATTAAATTGCTATTTGCAATAGGAAATTCAAAAAAATTATAGCATACATTTTTATTTTGAAGTCTTAAATTCATAAGAGTACAAAATAATTAATACAACATAAAACGACGGTTTTCTATCTCTTCAAAATTTCACACCAAAATCGTCTCTGGCCCAAGTCGACATATTTTACCGTCAGTTAAACATTCACCATTATGTTGATCGTTATAATTGTCCTCAATTGCAATGGAATTTTTTGTCTCACTCGTACACTTTAAAGCAATGAGCACATCTTGTTAAAAGATCCACTGCACTCGATGGTTTACATCACAAAAATTTTGTATGCGTCTGCATAATATATGTATTATGTGTGTACGTGTATGTGTATATGAAATTGTGCCTGTGTAGTCGTTCACAAGTACCTTTCTATATGTATGTGTTTAATTTTTATACACGCTTTGTGTGCACAAAATTAACAATTTAAATATTAAACACGTGTACATGTTATTTTTGTATCTCTTATAAATGTCTTTTTCTCTTACTATAATCATTATTTCGACAGAATATGTATGTGTAGTAACGATTATTTTTTTTTTATGTACATATAAAATCAGTTTTCTTTTGCCTTCTTTCCGCCACATTTAGTCCGTCCATTCTCTCGAACACTTTTAGCACCTAACTGTAAGTAAATAGAGAAAACACTTAGAAAATATTCATTTGACCATTAATTTAATTTCATTGTTTTGCACTGCAAAAAGGATATTTAGTGTAAGAAAACGTAAAAAAATAAAATATTCCAATATTATTTGATACTTAATATCACAGACTTTACAATGATGTTGAAGATAAAAATATTTTGTTTATTTAAAATATATAAAGTAATTCTATTTTCTTCTTTATTTCTTTTATCTTCTTATATACGATCATGAAACATATCTTTTTATTCCATGTTAAATGGTACAGAAGTACACGATTTTCTTTATATTCTAGAAGTTGACTTCAGTCTTTCTTTTCTTTTAATTTTTCAATTTCTTTTCTAATTTGCTTTTTAATTTGTGCTAATATTAATACCGTCTGTCACGGGAATCCGAACGAGAACGGCGGTCTCGGCTGCGGCTACGGGTCAGAGATCTCCTGCGCGGGCTACGGGACCTTGACCTAAAATATTAAAAAAATACTTTATATCATTTTAAAGAAAACAATTTATGAATACACGACTTTCTACTTCGTCTTAAATGTGATGTGATTAATTTTTTAGAATTATCTAAAAAAAATTATATCTTTATATTTATATTTCTCTGAAATATTATACGAATGCATGTCTTAAAATTAAACGTGATTATATTAAAATGTGAATAATAAATATGAGACGAAACAGAATGTCGTATGTTAAACACATAGATACGAAAATGATCGCAAGGCAACCATAATAGAATTAGGACTGGCTAACTCCTATTCGCCTAAAGGGATGATAAAACTAGTTAGACACAATAATTAATATAAAATGACATCTCACCAATAACTGAGAAACCAATAAACGAAAGTAGGATTAATTTAGTTAAATTAAATTTTTACAAGTAACTGTTACAGATAGTCTCAATAAATACATTACATCTCTTGATAAAATATTATGCAACAGGCGGCAATTCCCTGGTCCAATGTGTGTACCAATATATCATTAAAATAATTACAGATAAATATTAACCAGTCTTACGTTCTGTTTGCTAAAAATCTATTGAAAAATATAATTAATAAAAATTGTCATTGGACCGGAGAGAATATGACACCGTTTGATTAGAAAAAAAAAAAAAAAAAAAATTAAAAAATTAAAAAATTAAAAAATTAAAAAATTTTTAAAATAAAAAATAAAAAATAATAAATAAAAAG